ATCACAGTCGTGGTGCACACACTGGAAGAAGCTCTGGGTCTCGCTTCCATTGGTGCTTGGTTCTTCATACTCTCCTCCTCCTCCCCTTCCTCTTTTTCCCTACCTTCAAAGGACTTCCTATTTCTCAAAATTTTGAAATAAAATGCTAACTTACACACAGTGACGGGTTTAGCATCTCCATAACCGACAGTTGCCATTGTAACACTGAAAAGGTAATCAATTATTGAGAAGACCAATTTTGCGAGAATACCAGTTTGTTAAGGGCTTCTATTTCTTTAATGCTATTTACATAGATACTTATTACACTTAATTAACTTATTTACTCAAATACATATCTACGATTGGTCGCATACACACATCTCTGAATGGTCGTCAGTGGGGAAAAGGCAAGTGATGCTTCACCAATGTTTTGTCCGGAAATCTCCTAGATTGTATGCTAGGGGGTTGGGGAGACCACGCGGCGGCGCGGCAGTCTGCTCGCCTGGCATGTTTGCGTACTTCGGAAAATCCGTGAGCCAGGGGGAGTGTAGGCAGTCTAGGGGGGTGGGGGTGAGGGCAGTCACTTGACATGCGTGAAAAGCTGGAATGTTCGAGTTTACACTGTCTCGCTCGAGAGAGCCCAGGTGAGCAGAGAGCCGCGCCGCCTGTTCCCCCCCTACTTAACACCCGTCATTCAGGCCAGTATATCCTTTACAGTTGGTACCGTACTTGTCTGGGAGGATTAAAGAACATCGTCTGGTACATTTTCCGGCCCCGCAATTTATTGTGTAGGCTTATCGCAGTTAAGTAATACCGTGATTTTCAACAAAAGTATTAGGATGGCGGGGAAGTTCCGTCCCATTTTTTATTAACAAGCTCCATTAACACATTGACGACAGCGTGACGCGGTAACGCGTCCCACTTTGCGCACCTCGTGGGACATTGTGACGCGGTAACGCGTCCCACCCAAGTCATCCCTTTTTCTTGCGCTTGTGCGACTTATTCCTAAGGTCTTTGTACTCATTTCTAGGGTCATACATTAGCATACTTAAAAACCACATGGCTCACAGAAAGGCCAAATATTCTTTAGTTTGGCAGACGTTTTCCAGACCTTACGGATATGTCTGTTCAATTCATTCCTCGTTTTCTTTTCAATAACGTAAACATGTTGATAAAAAGAATAATAGAAGTGAATACAAACCTATTCGTATGGGAAGATATGTGGTTCTTACTGAAACAACACCGAATTAATTTTGACACCCGAATTAATTTCGAAACCACAAAAGGAAAAGTAAGTGAAATTTGGCCCTGACACGTCATATTGCGTATTCACAGCTCAAAATCCATGGGCGGGGGTGCTCCTCGCAAAATCACTCTGGTCCCACGCGGTGCAAGCCCAAACGCGCGATTCTTCACGTGTTAATGTAGTGAAACACACAAAATTAAATATATCCAACACCGATCTAAAATAATGTCTTGGAGGATGAACATCTCCAGTTTTGAATACTTCTTGCCAGCTATACTAACGATAAGCAACTTATAGATAGTATCTCTCCAAAATGCAGGCTGGCGTGAGGCAAAGTGCAACGTCAACTCTATTTTGATTTTAGGTGCGATGGTGGGAGTAACCAGTGGGGTCGCAAGGAGCGATGTGTGGACCATACGGGGGATAAGGAGTACTGTCTACGCATACTGCACGAGCCCTGAATCCACCTCTCTTGCGACTTGCGGTCTGATATTGTCAGCTTTTCGGAAAACGACTCTTGGCGATATTGAGAGCTGGTACATGACCGGGGTGTCAGAAACAAGAACAGTCATTCACATAAATTATAAATATTTGTTGAAATAAAAGGTCTAACACTTACACACACCACCAGCAAGCAGCTGGTATTGAATAGAAGTCTGAGTGAGGTTCGTCCTTTTCCAAATAGTACATAATAGTGGAGAAGAATACAATACCCGTGAGTAGAAACATACTCAACATGCTCAACTCGGTAATCGACGATTTGAGCGTTTGCCCAAATGTCTGCAAGCAAATTCACAATAACACAATGATTTGAAAAACAGGAACTTTTAGACTTTTTTTGGAAAACATTTCGCACATAGAATGTTTGTCAGCGCTATATCATAGGAAATGTATGAAAAAATATGATTCTCAACAAAACAGGTCAATCCGAAGCACCATCATCGAGCACCGAGACAGGCTTTAATTGACGGTTACCGCTGAAGTATTATCGGCGAAAGAGATAGGGAGACAGTTGTAGTGGATAACCCAATTAGCGCGGATTAGTTTAGCCGTGGAGCAACCAAGTATAGAACTCATCCGGCCCCGCCTCCCCTTCATTTCAAGGCGCAGATACTTGTTAGTGGCTTGATCGGTGGTTTCCTCCGGTTCATTTTTTATTTTCTGTCACTTCGGCATCCATCTTTTCATAACTGAACGCAGTAACCTTACTTTTTTTTTTTTTTTTTTTTTTTTTTTTTTTTTTTTTTTTTTTTTTTTTTTTTTTTTTTTTTTTTTTTTTTTTTTTTTTTTTTTTTTTTTTTTTTTTTTTTTTTTTTTTTTTTTTTTTTTTTTTTTTTCTCTTTCCTTTTTCCATGACACCTGGCTTCTTAATTTACAACCCGATCAATCACTTGTGTAGGTGAGCTAGTGTTTTGAATGGATAGTTTCTCAGATGGCTTTCGTCATTGCGGGCTTTAGCGAGGGCGACAATGCCGAAACGTGAGCTGAATAGAAGTGTTGCCCATCTCAGTGTAAGCTAACCATAAGCTTTACTATAACTTAACTAGCGAGTACTGTACTGTATACCAGCTTTCGTGGACTGTAATAGGGAAATTAGTGGCCGGAAAGCTTAGTAAACTAACTATTATTTAATGCTTTCGGGTGATTTAATAAAAAATGCTCCCTTCCAAGAATGTGACCGGCTATGCTTGATAAAGTATAGGCTTATTCACATGCTATAAGCGTTAGTAGCGCTGACAAAAACGGATGATCTCCTACCTGCAGACTACTGCTATACCGAGCCAGCTTGAACACTCGAGCCATTTTCAGAACACGAAGCACTCTAACAACTAACATTGCTCCTGAAATGGTCAATATGTAATGCGATGGCTGTAATTGAACACATCACATCAAAGAAATCTCCGTGCCGTGCAAATGACGTCAAACGACAGAAAAATTCAGCGCACACTCTTCAAAAAAGTCACGCAGTAAAAAAAAACACGAAAACTTTACCCATCCATCTCTGCGCTCCCCTCGCCAGTTCTTCGCCTGTAAACGTTCAACAAAAATTTACCGCGTTGTCAGTTGTGCTATTTGCACGTGGAAAAGAAAAATCATAGTGACTTCGAATGGTTTCTACGAATACATGGGCAAATAAAAAAGGCATTTTGTCTTCACATTCAGATGGTAATTACACTCTGCTCAATTCGAACCAAATTGTTCCAACTTAGTATTGAAGAGAAGATTTCCTTTTTTTATGAGAGAATCTTCGTAGTGGCCACCCATGTGGAAGTTATCAGAAAAATTGTCATGGAAACATGGTGCACGAGCTCAATGGGGTCTTTTAGAAGGATCGTGTACCATAACGACCTTTACTGAAAAGCTAGTTTCGAGGGGCTTGCATAGTGGTAGCTAATGTCCTCTAGAAACTATCCAACATTGAATTGATTCGCGAAATTACGTAAGAGCTTCAGACTGAGGCAGTTACGGTAGCTCTGCTTGTGCTTGACGACGATAACAGACGGTGAGGACAGTGAAGGAGGGCCCAAGTTCACTTATAGAGGAACATTTGGGGAATATTTTGCTGAAAAACTCCCATCAACGACGGCAATCTCTGCGAAAAAAAGGGGCTGAAGTTCGACATGGGCAAATGTCTTTTTTTTGCCCCCCCCCCCTCCTGTATACGCCTACAAAATGACTCTATTCTTCTTAACTGCCTGGACCCTTGTTTTTGTTCAATTCATCGGGTTGGGATTGTGTCAATTGAAGGGCCCTATTGCACATTTGTTCAGTAACAGTTGTGAGCGTTTCACTCAGAGAAGAACTCCACGGACACTAATGCTACATCCACTTGAAAAGTAGGTAGTTAACGGCGGAAAGAGAAGAGAAATTCGTAGAGAAAGCGCGAATAGGGCCCCTTGTTCAGCCGTTGATCTTCGCTTTAGAGCGCGCTGCGGTCAAGACGACGGAACGTATGAACGAGTTTACCGCAATGCATTTGGTGACAAGGTGTAAATCCATGCTTGAGTTGCTTCAGTTGTGCTGCTGCTCGCAAACCCACGACAGTGGCTACTCCAAATCACCAACTAAACTAGTGGGCGGATCGCTTTTGGGGCGGAGTGCTTTCGAAGTCCTGCTCAGCAACCAGCGCACCTTTCGTCGTGAAAGCGCCACACTCGCTTCCTTGGCAGCCAAGTAACTGCTTCGTGTGCATATGCTTCCCCGATGCGCTCCCTCTTTATCGTAATCGCTTCCTTTAAAGCTGGCATTAGGTGCCAAGCAGTAGTCTCTTTCAGAGTAAGAACGAGAGGTCCACAAAACCAGAGGACGGACCGGAAAGTGCTAGGCAACGGCGCTAAGGCCTTGCCTTGTGAGCTGCCGGCGCTTCTCTACCATTCCGTGATAACTGCCCCGTCTCATGTAAGACATGCTCACGCGGTTCCCGTCTCTTCGCACCGGTATCTTTTTTTCATACCACGGCCGATCTCAAGAGGGGGTTAATGGTTTTCTATGAGGTTTTTTGCCTTCTCCTCCCACTGGCGTTCCTCATTGACAGGGTGAATAATGGTCGAGAGAACCCCCGCCCATGGCTTTTCACTGTGTGAGAAAAGTGTCGACAGTGAATGTAGGCGCGTGAGGGCTTGACTGAAAAGGCAAAATCTCAATTCCTCGGCAGATTTTCACCTTGTTCATTGCCGTTCATGCCGAATTTTCAAGCAAAGTAACCACTGACTTCTTCCTCCGGATTTTAGACGAATTTGGAAACACAAACACATATAGAAAGTCTAGGAGATATTGAGTCACAGAGAATAAACGCGGTATGAGAGAACACATGCACACAGACCACCGTTATAATGGTCAACGGCCAACTGCACTCAAATGACCAAACAAGTTTGTTGTTGAACTTACTTCCACATCTT